TGATGATTATGAGCTTTTGAGAATTGGTTATTTTAGACACAAAATATTATGCCTAAGAACCGTTACTTCAACGTTGAAAACCTGTTTAAGTCACACTCTATCTAATATTGTGAAATCTCATGTTTTAGTACACAATGTTGAACCTTTTCTTCAGTGGTGGACAATAAGCATCGACGATGATGGGTTTCCTGACAGAAAATATGCAATTCAAAGTGGGATAAGAGTTTGGAAAACTGTAGGATCATCGAAGGACGGATTTTTGGTAGCAACCATCACAAACTGCGCGTTCATTTATGTAGTTAATACTAGGTACAATTGGGCTGATGCACAATTATTTACGTCCACTACATTAGACAGTATAAGAATCTCTGCTCCTGCAAATGATGTGAACTCTATAAATCATACTTGGAGACGCGTGTATGATAGTAACTGCACTCTTTTCTCTTGTTCTGAAAATGATATTGCTGCTTTTGTGAAAGAACAGATGACACGTAGAACTAAACCAGTTAATATTTTAAAGCAATTGATGAAACGAGCGGAGGGGGGATCTTTTAATGAATATCAGATCCTAAAAGTCATAGCGTCGCCCTATTATTATGAACTTCCTCATCAAAATGAACAAGAATATTTTTTGTTCACCACAGACAATTCTTGGAGCTTTGTTAACCCGTTGTATGTTATATTCACTTTTGAAAGTAGATTGAACTTTGGTATGAAAAACATAGAAAATTTTGTGTCAATATGTTCTATTTCAAATTAAAAAAAGGTGCATTTTCAATCAAATCACAATGGTACATAAAGTCATTAAGTTTTTATCAATCATCATGGTGTTTCTTCTAGTGTGATGTTAATGAAACCAAACTTTTATTAATCATTATTAGGTATACTATATCCAAAATGTTTAATAAATGCTTTTTACAATAAGAAATTGTGAATTTCAACATTATTTTCTTCATGACAAATAAACATTTTTCTTCTGACATTTGCTTGTGTAAGGTAAGTTCTTTTTTTTTTAAATATCACTTTCAATTTAGCACAAATTTACTCTGTTTGAGCTTATAATCACTCTGAAATTGTGGTGATTGAGATCATATTGACTCCAAGAAAAATTTGTTAGTATCATCATTTAGGAAAAAGCATATAGGAAAAACGGCTCAGATTTTTATTATGAATAATTTATGGTACACACATGCACCAATAGATCGTTCTTATTGACTGGTAAAAAAAAATTTTCCCATTAAAATTACTGTGAACTAAGGTTATTATCCACCGGAGGTGGGATATACAAAAGAAACATGAACTAAGAATATATAATTAAAAATAGGAGGAATAAAAAAGGCCACACTCATTTTTCAAAAGGTAAGCGTTTTTACGGGACCTCTCGGGTGGAATTTTATAAAACAATAGTCATTTAGAATATTAAGGTAGTGTTAGTATTTGATTCCAGTCTTCTTGTAAACCAAAATTTCTCTTATTCTCTTTTTTTTTTTGTTCCAAATGTCTAGATCATAGTTATGCCTTGTTTAGGTCAGCATAGTCACATCTGGCTCTTGCAAAGAAGGACAATAACATTCAAACTCTCTGTACAAAATAATTTAAAATATTTCCGTAAACAAAAAAAAAAAGGGGGGGGGGGTTAATTCCAGACTTATTAAAACTTTTGTTCCAATTTATCATTTAGAAAGATGCGTATTACTTCCAAATATATATTAAGAAAACTTGAAATTATCCAAGTTGCTTTATAGTTAACTATAAAAAGGTTTTTTTTTGAGCATTACATGTAAAAGTTGTATCATTAATTTTTCGTTTGAATTCAGAATAACAAAGACAATCCCCACGTTTGGTAGTTTAATATCTAAATTCTTATAAAGATGTAACTCATTTTGTGCTTTATTTTTGTATGTTGAGAAATGTTTTTAGCTACTTTTGTATTTACAGAAAATCAGAGATTTGACAGGTTATTGTTTTCGCTATTCAAAATTTCATATTACATTTTCAACTGATAAAGTCAAAAAATACATGCTTACATGTTACAAAAATACATGTTTTACTGTCTAGATCATAGATTTACCTTGTTTGGCGCAGTATGGCCACGTCCAAGTCCGGCTCTTGCGCCGATAAAACTTCACTGTCCTCATCTGGCTGTATAGCGGGGTAAAGGTACGTTAAATTTTGTTTATGTCCCAAATCCTTTTTTTGGCGTGGCGTAGAAATTTGGAGGTGCCAGGCAGCATATCGTCCTCGTTAATTGGTCAAGATACAAAATTACAAGATCTGTCTCCAATAGACCCGTGTGGTGACCGGGAATGACAGAATAGTCCCACTGTAGCTCATGCATGTCGTAAGAGGCGAATAAAATGGTACCTAGCTTCTGGGGGAGTAGCCGGGCACCCTACCCCTGAGGATTGTATTAGGGGACCTCAGGGACTTGCCTTCTTCAGGTAAGTACGGACATCATGACTCCGAGGAACCCCGGTGATCTTTTTCTTCCCCATGGGAGTTTATTGCCTTTAGTAAACACCGGTGACGTACTCCCGGGATACCCTAGCGATCCTTCTCTATTTTCGACCCTCCTTCTTGTCAACCACTATTTGTCTTTTTTCTACTTCATGTCTGGACCCCAGTTTAATCTTGTTTGGCTCAGCATAGCCATATCTGTCTCTTGCGCCAATAAACTTTACATTCACTCACTCACTCTGTCTCCAATAGCCCTATGGTTGCTCTCGTTTGCGACGATAAAAAAACAATTATATCTCTTCAGCTACTTTGAGAATCTTAGTGGTGGCTATCTCCACTTTTTTTTTTTTATTTCCTGCAATTATAATGAAGTTTATCTTTTTATTTTATGACGATGATGAAAGTCGGATTATTATCTATATCATTTTATATATCTGTCAATATGGAGCAACTTAGAAGTGGCTTCAATAATTGGGATGGAATTAAGAAAAGTCAGGTATGATTTAAGGGGAGAAAATTACATTTCATATCCATATGACGAATAGCAGATTTTTAATAAAATAGATTGACATTTTATCGATACAAAAACAACGATCATTGAAGAAATGTTTAGTTGTTAAAAAAAAGTGAAGCTATATATAAAAATAATGTTACACAATTATCAAATTATTGACTTTTTCGGCGCATCGTTTGTAGATAGCATCGAACTATCTAAAAACTTATATGCAATGAATATTATCTGAGAACTCCAACTGCGGAATCTTCTTTTTACAAAGTCTGAAACGTAAGGCCAAGTTTTCAGAGTCTCATAGGGATTGTAAACACATTTCTGTTTTTAATTTTTTTTTTCCTTTTTAAATTCACACACATTTATTATTATTATTATTGAAAAAGGAGGTTTTAATTAGAAATCTCGAATCCACGCTCCTCGGGAATCGCTCCACGTATGAGAACTCCCAACTGCGGACGCGTCGAGTACCCCTCCGGAATCTTCTTTCAAGTCTGAAAAAAAAAGTTTTCAAAGTAACCTCTGATGATGGATAGGGATTCTTCTGTTTTTAATTTTTTTTTAAAATCACACCACAGACATTTATTATTCTTTTTATTATTATTATTGAAAAAGATTCCGCTCGAGAACCAGTCTCAGGGGCATAAAAAAAGAGAGCCGCCGGTCCCAAAGATTGGAACCGACGACTCTTCATTTTAAAATTGAATTCACAGCATGGCATGCATGGTTTTTTTTCACACCTGAGATATTTATTTATTTATTATTATTGAAAGAGGAGGTTTAATTAGAAATCTCGAATCCACGGAGGTCACCGCTCCTCGGGACTGGCTCCACGTCTGAGAACTCCCAACTCCGGACGCGTCGAGTACCCCTCCGGAATCTTCTTTTTTTTTCTTTCAAAGTCTGAAACGTAAGGGCAAGTTTTCAAAGTCTGAAACGTAACCTCTGATGATGGATAGGGATTCTTCGGATCGAAACACATTTCTGTTTTTAATTTTTTTTTTAAATCACACACATTTATTATTATTATTATTTTTATTATTATTATTGAACCACCCTCCGCCCGGGCCCCGGCCCCAGAAAAAAAAAAAAAAAAAGAGCCGCCGGTCCCAAAGATTGGAACCGACGACTCTTATTCATCTTATTATTAGTATACATGTTTTTTTTCCCCCAAGAGGTAGGAGTGTCTCTTTTAAGAATGGAACGGTCTTTTTTATTTTTTTCCCTAATTTCTTTAGATTCACACCTGAGATATTTATTATTATTCTTTTTTTAATTTCTTTAGATATAAACCTTAGATATTTATTATTATTATTATTGAGAAAGGTTTCATTTCAACGAGTAGCCCTCCGGAATCTTCAAAGTCTGACATCCGATAGGGAATCTAAACGACTTTTTTTCAAAGTCCAAACCTGAGCTCTACGTCTGAGAATTATTCCGGACGCGTCGAGTACCCCTCCGGAATCTTTTTTTTTCTCTCAAAGTCCAAGAACTGGAAAACGGGGGATTTTTTTCAAAGTCTCAAACGTCACCTCTGATTCATAGGGAGTCTTCGGATCTCCCATTTTTTTTCAAAGTCCAAACCTAACCTCGGGGACTCTGCAGCACATAGGATCTGGGATCGGAACAAGGGATCTGAACA